TTTTAAACACTTTTTTTTTAATATTTATTTTTTTAGTTTTCGGTGGACACAACATCTTTGTTTGTATGTGGTGCTGAGGATCGAACCCGGGCCGCACGCATGCCAGGCGAGCACGCCACAGCTTGAGCCACATCCCCAGCCCCGAGGGGGTAGAATCTTAAAGACCCTTTGGCTCTCCCTCTATTTTTCTCGTGGGAAGCAAATGAAATTTACTTATTTACTAGAATTTGAGCACCAAGTATGGAACAATTATGGTCTGGGCTATTTTAATATTTTTATTAGTTACTAATGGACCTTTGTTTATATGTGGTGCTGAGTATCAAACCCAGTGCCTCACACGTGCTAGGCAAGCGCTCTACCGCTGAGTAACAATTTTTGGTTTTTTACTGAGATTAAAAAAAAAAAAAAAACATAAAATTAACATTTTTAATATATACAATTCAGTGGCATTTAGTACATTCACAATGTTGGGTAATCATCACCTGGTCCAGTTTCAGAATGTTTACATGACTTCACAAGCTAACCCATTTCTATTGCTCTAGATCTGTGCGCGACACATCAAGGAAGGGAGGGGCCCGATGTCTGAAGATTTAGTGAAACCCACCTTTGTGCAGAAATGTGGAGGCTTACTTTTGATAGCTCTGTTACTGGATGGGAAGATACTTTTTGGTGTTCTGAGGGTTACATCTGGATGTCACTTTGAAGTTCCAAATTCCTGTCTCCTCAGGGAACATCCCCCAGCTTTCAAATAAGGATAGTTGAGAGCCATGCAGACCACACCTCATCATTGCTTAATATTGCATGTGGCGAGGAAGGAACAGTAAACCCCTTCTGTCAGTCGTTCTCATCCGGTGCCGTAAGTTTCTGTGCCACTGTGATTAAATGAACAAACTTACAAGCTCTGTCAGGGAGGGAGGGGTAGGCTCCAGGGGAGCAGATCCCAAACCCTCTTTCCGTGGCCTGGGTAGCACAGATGCTTTGTGCTAAATATCTTATTTCTCTCTGAATCTAAAATATATTCCATTTTAAAGATGAGGAAGCCAAGGCTAAGGGAGGAGCGTCACATGCTCAGGCTCAGTAAGGAATGCAGAGTTAGGATTTGGCAGATCCTAGCATCCCACACYGAGGTTGTTCCAAGGAAACCCTGCCAGGAAGTTGACCTGCCCCTCAATTCTTACCTGTTCTTGTCTCCAAGTGTACTACAATGTGACAGGACTCCTCTCCCTACCCAAACTGAGATGGTAACAGTGAACCCTTTAATCGCCCCTCTCGGTGAGTCCCTGACATCTGCAACATGTGACAAGGCAGGGGGGCAGATCAGCACCTGATTTTTGTCCACATCAGGTCAAACATGGTCCAGAAGATAGGCTCAGTGGGGTGTGTGTATATATATATATATATATATATATATATATATATATATATACACACACACACACACACACACACACACACATACAAGTTTATTTCCAATGAAGGCAAAAAAAAAAAAAAAAAAAAAATCAACCTTCATTCTTAAAACCACTTTTCTGAAAAATAAAATTTTCTGGCCTGGCAGGCTGTGGCATACCTATAATTCCAGCAACTTGGGAGACTGAGGCAAGAGGATGGCAAGTTCAAAGTCAGCCTCACCAAATTTGCGAGGCTCTAAGCAACTTAGTGTGACCCCCATCTCAAAATTTAAAAAAAATAAAAAGGGGCTGGGGCTGGGGCTCAGGGGGAGCATCTCCTACCCCCATACCCCATAGTTCAATCCCCAGTACCAAGGGGTGGGCAGGAATCCAGAGTGAAAATCGGTTTCCTGGAGATGCATTATTTTTAAATGTAACGTTACACATTACATAAGCATTTTAAGTCAGATAATAGCTTAAAAGATTGGATGTTTCTGGAGGGATTGGTGGTCTCCTAGACGTTGAGTCTTTAATTCTGATTAAGGCTATGAATAAGGACAATATTGCAATTTATTTTATTGGTATAAGTTATACATGATTGAAATAATTTATAAGAAATGACTGGGGATGTAGCTCAGTTGGTAGAGTGCTTGTCTTGCATGCACAAGGCCCTGGGTTCAATCCCCGGCACCACTATTGAAAAAAAAAAAAAAAACAACTTCTGAGCCACCCAAAATTTAAAAATCAGTGCAATATTGGGGCTAAAAACTTCTTTCATATACCACATCAGCAATAGCTTTTGATTTTTCTTACCTCAACTAATTGCACTTAAGGTAGATTACTGAAATATGACAGTACTTCCTTAAACTTTGAAGAACATGTTTGTAAACAAGTAAAAGATCTAGATGAATRTATTCTGGGCCTATGCATTATTATTGTTATTTTTCAGAGACAGGGATAGAACTCAGGGCCTCACACATGCTAGGCAACCACTCTACCCACTGAGCTATGCCTCCAAATCCCTAATTTAAAAATTTTGAATATTCATGGTATAATTAAAACATGTCCACAGGCAAAATGAATTTGAACAAATATATTGGCCTTTAAATGCCTTGTGTTTCAAGTTTAGAAATCAGACCGTASGAATGCCTTCAAATCTTTACATTTGTTAATTGGCAGAGAAAGTGCGGCCTTCGATGAACAAATTGTCCTTACAATCAAAGTATCAAGATCCACTAATTGTTTCTGTGATCCGCCTGACTTCATGGAACATACCATGCTACAGATCTGTTACTAGAAAAACACTACGATAGCATATCAAAACCTTCTTTGTTGTTCCATAAAAGCTAGAAATTAATCAGAGGGCACATTTTCCACAGGAGGGAATAGCTGTTTACCCCATCAGTCGAGGTTAGAGGGAATGAATGTTCTCTTTCAATATCATCCATAACCTCATTGAAATGTTGGTCAGAATTTGCAGGTTTACTCCTGCTTGAGGCAGGTCTCATGTGAAGAAGAACATTTGGTCCAGGTGAACCCCCGTGGGGCTCAACTTGCTTACTGGGAAGAGGGAAAAGTTGCAAGGTGAGACCTACACTTTCCACTGTGGCTGTATGCCTTCCTCCTGCTGCCTGCTCTCAGGCGACTCTTACTAAAATACAATTTTAAGTAAGCTCTGAAGGTGGGAAGCTTATTGGCTCTGTGTTTTGCATTTGCATTTTTTTTTTTTTTTTTTTTTACAGAGCATCACGGAGATCATGATCTACGGTAGACTGTGTGTAAGAGGAGCTGGGGGTGTCGGCAGAGTAAATTTGGAGGAGCCCACAATATTGGCAGAGCATAAAAGGGCCCCTGCAGGTTTTGAAGAGTTGGACAATGTATTTGCGAAATTTCTCCCCCAGAAAAAAGTAGATGACTGGATTAAGGCAACAGTGAACGAAAGCCAGGGTTTCTGTGGCCTGGATGGCGTAGTCCAGATACCTTTCAAAGGTGCAATTCTGAAGGACTTCTAGCTCCACCAGGGTATCCAGGAAAAGCACTATGTTGTAAGGAGTCCAGAACCCAAGAAAGAGCACCACCACAGCAAAGATCATCTTCACCGCCTTGTTCTTCTTTTCATTTTTGCAGTGCTGCAAGGTTCTGATGATCATGGAGTAGCAGAAGAGCATGATCCCCAAGGGGATCACCAACCCAAAGATGTTGATCTCCAGGGAGCTGAGAACCTTCCACGTGGTGGAGTTGACAGAGTACTTGGTTTTGCAGTAAGTGTGGTTGCGCTCGGTGTAACAAGTGCTGAACAAAAGGCCAGGGAGGGAGGCGAATACAGCCACTGACCACGTAGCCACACTGGTGATGACCCCATAGGTCAGGGTTCTTGCTCTCAAGGAGAACACCGCATGCACGATTGCCAGGTATCTGTCGATGCTCATGAGCATGATGAAGAATATGCCACTGTAAAAGCCCACCAAGTACATCCAGGAAATAATCTTGCATAGACCCAGACCAAAAACCCACTGGTCTGCAGCGTAGTAGCCCCAGAATGGGAGGGAAAGCACAAAGAGCAGATCCGAGATGGCAAGGTTGAGCAGGTACACGTCAGTCATGGACTTGAGCCGCTTGTATTTGAACAGGACTAGAACCACCACGGAATTTCCAAGCAGACCAAACAGAAAGACCAAGGAGTAAAGAGGGGGCAGGAAGAGCTCCCCGAAGGCTTTGACTCCTTCTTTGTTACAAGGCTTGGGGATGCTCTCATAGAGGTAGTAGTTGCTGTAGATGCTGTCATCCAGGGTAGTGTCTGCTGTATCCGTGGGATTCATTTTCCAAACCTGTGAGGTTCTCAAGGAAGGTCTGGATGCAACAGAAACAGCTAATGACGGGAAGAGAAAACAAAGATTTCTGTAAGGAAAAAAAAAAAAAAGTCAAAATGGTGCTAAATGTGGAACACAGCTCCTCAGCCTGGGAAGGGTATAAAATGATCTGGGACAAAGCACTTTGGAGCTAATTCCCCAGAGTGCCCTGCAGGCCAATGAAATAACCCAGGCCTTGACCCCCGCATAGTTTAGGTTCAAAGTCCAGCTCTGCCACTCATTTTCTTATCCCTCTACTGGAACTCAATTCTTTTTCTTTCCCCCACCCCACCCCAGCTTGGTTCCAGAGACTGAACCTAGCTAGGCATTTTTAACCACTGAGCCACCTCCCCAGCCGTTTTTATGTTTTGAGACAGAGTCTCACGAAGTTGCTGAGGCTGGCTTTGAACTCATAATCCTCCTGAGCTGCCAAGATTACAAGTGTGCACCATCACACGTGGCCAATTCTCTCATTTGTAAGTGAGGATAACTTAAGACCCCCTTTTCAAGGAAGTGTATTTTATTTTTTAGAGAGAGAATTTTTCTTATTTATTTTTTAGTTTTCGGTGGACACAACATCTTTATTTTATTTTTATGTGGTGCTGAGAATCAAACCCAGTACCCTGGGCTGGGGATGTGGCTCAAGCGGTTGTGTGCGGCCCGGGTTCGATCCTCAGCACCACATACCAACAAAGATGTTGTGTCCGCCGAGAACTAAAACCCAGCACCCTGCGCATGCCAGGCGAGTGCGCTATCCCTTAGGCCACATCCCGAGCCCAAGGATGTGTATTTTAAAGATTGTATTTAAGCTGGGGACGTAGCTCAGTGGTAGTGTGATTGTCTAGCATGCCTGAGGCCTGGATTCAATTCCCAGCACTGCAACAACAACAAAAGATTCTCAAAGATAGTAAAAGCCACTAACTCCACTTTCTGGGATGACAAGATCAGCTGGGATTCCCCACAGAACTGGACCCAGACCCTTTGACAGAAAAATAAAAAATCTAAATATGGAGAGCTAAATACTGTAGTTACTACCCCAGCTCCTTGGGAGTCTGAGGCAGGAGAATCATTTGAACCTAAGCATTAAAGATCAGGCTAGGCAACACAGTGAGATCCTGTCTCTAAAAACCAAGCAACCATGAGCTGGAACATGGCTTGGTAATAGAGCGTCTGCCTGGCATGTGTGAGGCCCTGGGTTTAATTCCCAGCACTGCAAAACAAAACACAACCAAATCAACCTACACAGTGGGGCTGGGTAAATCACTSAGTGGTAGAGCACTCACCTCACATGCATAAGGCATTGGGTTTGATCACTAGCATCACAAAACCACCAAAACAACCAAAACCTTATACGTAAGRCCAATATTTCAGTAAGTGCTTTACTTCACTAAAAGGAAACCAAGTTGGTCACTTGCCTTTATATAAAAACGCTTTGTACTATATAGACTTCAAAGAATGTTCACCAGTATGGTCCAATATATTCCCATGTTCCTGTCCCTACTCTACCTCCACCAAAAATCTTATACTGTAAGCTAAGCAAGCTTAATTGATCCATACAGAAGATCTATGAAAAATTCAGAAAGGTCAAACAACTTCTAGAGACCACAGAGCTGAGCATAGAACTTGCTCTTTAGGCTTCAAGCCCAATGATCTGCCAGTAACTCAGGTCTCAGGAGGAGATGGGGGGAGGACTTATTAATGTATTGCATTTGCTAGTTTCTGGGGTATACATAGTCCCACTATAGCCAATTCCAAACTACCAATGGGCTCACAAAATTTCCGAACAGGTAATGACAGACTCTTGGGAGCTGGTCCAAGCCAGCTCCAGCACCCCACTGCCAAGACCATTGGCTCCAAAGCACATCTACCTGGGGGCAGACCTGACCTTTGGGCAGAAGGTAGCTAGCTGTTCATAAGCCAATTTGACACTAATATAGCAAATGTATTTTGAAGGCCTTTTGGGAGGCTTCAAGATTCTGATAATCTGAGGGAACTTTGTGTTCTTTTCATCAAGCTACATATAAAAAAATCAGTCCTCTGCACCAAATCTCATTAGAGTGGGAAGTGGCCTGACAGATCTAGAAAAGACACATGATAGCCAGAAAGAAACTCTCCACCTCCCCAGTCACCTGTGTCTCCCATCTAAGTTGTCCAAAGAGGTTAAACCCTCCTTCCAGTTACACACATGCCCACCTGTGTATCAATTCACGGACGAAGGGCTTTCCTCCCACMCCGACATTCCTTATTAAACCCTTTTGCATTGTTAATTCACTTCCAATGCCTCCCACCACTCACCCAAATGCACAAACTGTTTCTCAAAGAGATTTTGGTTTCTTCCTGCAGGGGAATGCTAAAGACCTGTGGCATCAAAGATGTGTGTTAAATGAATAGTTCTACTCTTTCCCACCATTTTACCAGTGAAAACTAAAGATCAAAACAAGACTGAGGAGTTAGGAAAACTATCAGAAGTAAAAAAAAAAAAAAAAAAAAAAAAAAAGCTGGTAAATGTTTGGAATTCTATAGGCACGTGTGTGGTGTTTCTTAATCTTGGAGTCTTGATAGAAATTTTGTATATTTAATGAAAAATATCTGTTTAGGACACGTGAACTCAGGCAAGATGTGCTCAAGGGGAAGAGCCCTACATGTATGACTACCCGTCAGAAGAGGGTTCCGAAGCGTGGGGACAGGTAGAGAGCATGTAAGTTCCAAGACCGCTGTCTACCCTGAGACACAAATTACCTATATGCCCGGGTGTCTGGGTTGGCCAAGTAGCTGGCCAGGATGCRTTGCTGCCTTCAGGCCACACGTGTCTAGAGAAAAGTGCTTGGCTGGAGGCCCCGGGAATGTCCCCATCCCCACTTACCTTGCTTTTGTGAAAGTGASTCCGAGGACGGTCTGTGAGGCAATGCCAAGCCTGATCAAGCAGCACAGCTCTATGAAGGACGAGTGCCTTTGAAGGATGTGTGGCTTCCTGTGAGCACCGGCTCTATCCCTCACCCATCTATGCTGAGTTCAAGTGGGTTTTTTTTTTTTTGATAGAAGCAGAGAAAAGTGACTCATTTCCCAAAACTGAAGGTTAGGAAGGTTTGCATTCTTCTGTAAGAGGAGAAAATGGAGAGGAAAGCCAAGTAAGCTTTTTAATTTTAAAAATTTGTTGGAGGGGCTGGGGAGATCACTCAGTGATAGAGCTTGCCTCACATGCGTGAGATGAGGCCCCAGGTTTGATTCCCAGCATTGGGGGGAAAAAAGTTGGGACATAGTTTAGTGCTAGAGCTTCCCTAGCATGCAGGAGGCCCAAGATTTAATCCTCAC